GGGGGAGGCCTTCAACGAGATGGATTGATACAGTGGCTGCGATGATGGGCTCGAGTATAGCAGGGATTGTGGGGCTGGCACGGGATCGGGCAGTGTTTCGTTCTGCTGTGTATGGGGTCACTATGAGTCGGAAACGACTCGACGGCACTTAATAACAACAACAACAACAGGCTACCTGTTACAAGGTAGCCTAACATCATACTATTTTTCTTACTTTTAACAACTTCAGCATTAGTACATTCATTAATTCTTCCCATTAAGGTATAATTCCTTTCTTTTAAAATATCAGCAAAGAAATAAAATTGCTAGTCACTGTTTCAGGGAGTTTTGGTGGCATAGTGCCTAAGGCATTTGACTACTAACCAGAAGGCTGGCAGTTCAAACTCAACAGCCACTTCTCAGAAGATCAGGCAATCTACTTCTGCAGAGATACCGCCTCAGAATCCCAAGGAGGGGTTGCTATGATTTGAATGGACATGATGGCAGTGAGTTTGTCACTGTTTCCTCCTTCATCATCAATGATTGGAAAGTAGTATCACCTATACTGAGGAGCTGTGGTGGCACAATGCCTAAGGCATTGGACTGCTAACCAGGTTGGTGGTTCAAACCCACCAGCTGCTCAGTGTAAGGAAGATGGGACAATGTACTTTGTAAAGATCTACCATCTTGGAAACCCAGTGGGGGTCACCATGAGCCTGAATTGACTCAACGGCAGTGGGTCTGATTTTTTATTTTGGATCACCTTTACCTTTAAAGAAAAAACAAAACAAACCCTTGTTTAGTAATCACAGACCTCAATCGATAACTTTTTAATCGTGTATAGTTATCAACTTCTCCATATGCCTTGAAAAGTCTGCTGGGGAAATCAAAAGAAGAAAACCAAATCCCCTGCCACCGGGTCAGTTTTCACTCACAGCAACCCTACAGGACAAAGCAGAACTGCTCCATGGGGTTTCTGAGGCTGTAAGACTTTACAGAAGAAAACTGCCTCATCATTATTCTATGGAGCAGCTGGTGGGTTTGAACTGCTGACCTTTCGCTCAGCAGCCCAAAACCTTAGCCACTGTCCACCACCAGAGCTCATGTGTTGGAAAAGGACACCAGTAAACCAATGTTATCCAGGTGCAATCATTCTCAAATGCTTTGTTGCCTACATTAGAATCATTTTGGGTAATTCTTTTTTTAAAAAAATGCATTTTATTGAAATATAATTTATATACTGTGAAACAGACAAAACTAAAGTGACGTGGGTCAATGCATTTTTCTTTTCTTTTTCTTTTTTTTTTTTGGTCAGTGTTCCCTCCCCTCCTCTCCTACCCCTGGAAACCAACAAAGAAAATTTCCCTCCATATGTAAACCTTTCCTTGACCCTCCACAACAACGAACTAATACTATATTTGTGTCCTTCTGTGACTGACTTATTTCACTCAGCATAATGTCCTCCAAGTTCATCCATGTTATCTGGTGTTTTGCAGACTCTATATTATTCTTTAATTTTGGATAATTCCTAAAGATAAATTTTGCCACGTCCCTCTTTCTAGAGTTTTGTTTCATAAATCTGGGGTAAAAATCTTACGTTTTTTTAAAAAGCTGTCAAGTGATTCTGATTTGCAGCTTGGTTTGTGAATTACTAAGGAGCTCTGGTGGTGTAGCAGGTAAGGCATTTGGCTGCTAACCAGAAGGTTGATGGTTCAAACCTACCCAGTTGCTCCATGGGAAGAAGATGAGGCAATCTACCTCTGTAAATATTTATAGCCTTGGAAACACAGTGGGGGTTGCTATGAGTTGGAATTGACTTGATGGCCGTGGTTTTGGTTTTTGAGAATTACTAGTAGAATTTATAGTACGTCCTATGAATTAGAATACACCTACTCCTCACTTACGAACTATCTCATTATCCAACATTTTACATTTATGACAATAGTAAAAAATCTACTCTCCAACTATTTTGTTCATTAATAATGTGTATCAAGCAATGAGGAACACTGAGGTGCTAGGTCAGAGTAATGCAGGCTGTGACGGTTAATGTTATGTATCATCTTGGCTGGGCCATGACTCTCAATGAATGGTTTGGCAATTATGTAATGATATAATTTGGCAGTTATGTTATGATGTAATTTGACAGTTATGTAATGATGTAATCATCCTAAATTTTTGCATAACACCAATTTTCACATAATGATCTGCTCTTTGGAACTTAACCATGTTGATTAGTGAAGAGTAGGTATACCTGGTTACTACCACTTAATAACTGTGTGGTCTTGTGTAATTATTTAGATTTCTCTAAATGATACTTGCCCTAACTCACCTCATCTAGTTATTTTAGGGCAAAATGAGTTGATGTAAAACTCTACATAAATTAATTATTATGATACTCAATTTTGTTGTTTATCTCTTTCTTCATTTTTTTTGCTACTGCTAGAAACTTGTGACCTACTATTCTTTTTTCCATTGTCTAAGTAGGTACTCTCTGAGAAGAATGTGAAAGAATCAAGGGTCAATGCTTGACAAAGTGGGTGATTATACTTTCAAATCCAATATTAGTGTAATTTGGAGTATTTACTCAGTTGCAAGTCCTAAACACAATGTAAGAATGTCTGAGGCATTAGCATCAATTATTCGGAAGTGATATGTTATCAATGAGACGTATTCAGGGTAGAAAATGCCCTTGTCTCTTTTAGGATTCCTAGAATTGGCTTTCCTTTCCTGTAGCCTAAGCCATGACCTCAGATATCTGATCTATCTTTAATTATATCTTGATAGGAATTCCTCCAAGATAAGCATCTATTCCATGGAGATGTGGCAGCCAGGAATATTCTGATCCAGTGTGATCTCACTGCCAAGCTCTGTGGACTAGGCCTGGCTTATGAAATCCATGCCCGAGGGGCCATCTCCTCTATTCGAACCATACCTCTCAAGTGGCTTGCCCCAGAACGGCTTCTCCAGAGACCTGCTGGCATGAGAGGAGATGTGTACGGTTTGTTTCTGCCTTTTGGATTTCTTCCCTTCATAACCCAGGTGTCCTCTGACTGATAAATGTGATTGGGTTGATTGCTAATTATGCCTACAAAGGAAATCTTTTCCAAGTATTCTTTCTATGTTAGATTAGCAGTCTTAAATAGGTGTCTTAGTTTCTTAGGGCTGCTATAATAGAAATACTGCAAGTGGGTGGTTTTAAAGAACAGAAATTTATTTTCTCACAGTTTAACAGGCTAGAAGCCTGAATTCAGGGCACTGGCTACAGGGAAAGTGCTGTCTTTCTTGGTTCTGGAGAAGGTCCTTGCCTCAGCTTCTGTAACCCCAGCATTCCTTGGTTCCTTGGACATCTTCACATAGCATCTGTCTTCTTATTTGTGCTTGCTTATCTATAGGTCTATGCTACTCCTTATAAGACTGGAATGATTAGGTTTAGAACCCACATTATACTGACCTAATAATATAACAAAGAAAACTCTATTCCCAAACAGAATTACATTCACAAGTATAGGGGTTTGGATTCACACACACACACACACACACTTTTTTTTGGGGGGAGGGAAGGGGACACAATTCAATCCATAACAATAGGAATGAAAAAAATAAAGTATCAGTCACAGCAATATGTGAAAATTTAATCTGGGAGATGTCCTCTTATTTGATGGAAGCTGGGTCCACTTAATCAAAAGGTCAATTAAACCAGAAATTATTAAAGAAAAATAAATACACGTATTTCAAATATTTTATTTTTCCTTTTAATACATTAATGTGTGTTAATTTATCCATCTTTTGAAAGAAGGCAAAGGCTTTTTCTATGAGTATAGACCTGCAAAACAAAGTTACATGTTATGTTTCTTGTGTAAATAGAATCCAAAATGAATGAATTTTTACTTCCAGTTTGGGATGATTCTTAGTAGACTGAGAAATTTAAAGACAACTGTGGAGTGATTTGACTGCAGACTTAAATGGTTATTTTTCCTAATTTTCTACAGTCATCTCACTCATAGTTAATCTGACTGCACTTTCTTTTTAGCAGGTTATTTTTATAGGATATTTTTAAAGCATTCCACATAGCTTTCAGAGAGAGAATACCTCCTGCATTTATTTTTAGTCAGCTTACATAATATTTAATTAATCATAACTACAGTTATATGTACATAAACAGGATTGTAAAGAATCAAAATTGACTTTTGGTACTAATATAACTCAGCTGCTTGCAGAAACATCCAGGCATAATGTAAAATATCCCATGAGCCATGAATGTCAAAGGGAGCAGAGGAAATAAGCTGTTAGTTAATATGGTGAGTCACTTAAGAGACTTCCATTGTTATTGTTTCATTTCACTGACATCTGCTTTTCAATAGAGATCTGGAGATAATGAACTTCACTGGAAAATAATACTCATTAATGATGATATCGTACAATATTGAAATACACATATCTCTCAAATAATATATTGCTTAGGCAAATGCTTATTCCAACTATATATAAAGCTTGCTCTGATAATATGTTTTTTCCTAGACTTGGGAAATTGGATATTCTTAGGAAATATGAGATAAATAATAAATGTGCATGGCTTTCTACTAAAAATAAGGGCTAGAGATGTAGCAGAAAGGAATGGAAAAGCTGAAAAAGATGCAGAGGGGAATTTCTTCATGCTTGAGTGAGTGTGTTTTTCTGTGTGCATACACAAGGACAATTTAGCAAATAATAGGAGACATCCAATAAGGTGAGATATAGAAGAAAGGAGACATAGATCCTATCTTCAAAGAGATTATACTGTAAGGGGATTGGATGGAATACTTTCTAATGGGACAATTATGTGGCTTATTTTATCAGACACCCACCCTCAATTCTCTTTCATTGCCTTTTTTATGGGATTCTTGTCAAAGTCTTCTGATATTTAAGTGAACGCTCTTTAAGAAAGGCCAAAAAAAAAATTAAGCAAATTGGTTTCTTTTACAGCTGGTCTTTTGGGATCCTCCTTTATGAGATGGTGACTTTAGGTAAGGAATATCCCCAAACCAGTGTGTCTAAAACCAAAACCCATTGCCACTGAGTGGATTCCAACCCATAGTGACCCTACAGGACAGAACAGAATGGCCCCATAAGGTATCCAAGACTATAAATCTTATATGGAAATTGACTGCCACATCCTTCTTCCATGGAGTGACTGACAGGTTCAAACTACTGACCTTTCAGTTAGCAACCTACAGCTTTAACCACTGTACTATCAGGGCTCCAAAGTAGTATGTACCTGTATGCAAATATGGAAGTATGTTTATTTGGGTTTTCAATGGTATATGCTTTGAGAAGGGTTTTCAGTACAAGCTCTGCAGTCTGAACTGAGCTGACGTGCACACTAAGCCTGCTTCCTGATATAAGTCTTATAAAGTGATGATTCCTTTCCTAACCTGTTCCCACCCTCTATCTCTTCCTCTTTCTTTATCCTCTTCTACTTTCTTTTTCCTCTTCCACTTTCTTTCTTTTCCTCAAAAGTTTCAAGGGATGTTTTCAAATCCAAATGATAAACCTCAGAATGATCTTGCATTGAAAGGATGTTCAGGCTTGGTAAATGAAAAGGAAAAATGTTTTCAGACTGTATAATCCATTTGACTGAGAAACTATAGTATCTTCCCACATTTGGGGTGTGGAAGGCAAGCCTTCTTTCTCCCTTTGCTTCACTTTGTTATTTTCCCAAAGACTCAGAATTCCCCTAACTTATCATTCTTCCCACCCACCCTAGAACATTTTTTTTTTTTTAAATTCTCTAAACTATATTCTCATTTGATCACCTGGTACTATCCACATTATACCTGATATATTTCCCATGGCTGTATATTTCGTAGGCATTTGCCTAGGGTGGATGGAAAGTAGTGTTAAACTACATATTCTAAAGGACCCTTAAGTTTTGTTGATACTCTCATTATTTTCATACTGGCAGGGGCCCCACCATATCCTGAAGTCCCTCCTACCAGCATCCTACAGTACCTCCAAAGAAGGAAAATCATGAAGAGGCCCAGTAGCTGTACGCACAACATGTAAGTGACTTTTGAACACCTGTTCTTCCCTTACCTCAAGTCTTTTTCACTTCCCCATCAATCAAGCCCTTTTAATGTGGCCTTGAAGACCCCCGGCTGTCCTTTATGTGCTAATATACAGCCATGCAGTAATACATCGGCTCTCAAATCATATATGTATGTATAAAATACACACACATACACACAGTGTTGGGGCAACCACTGAAACTGTATTAGGAATCTAAGTTTGACAAAGCTTAGTTCCTCAGGAAACTTCTATGCATGCAGGTACAGTATTATTTTATTTATCTGAATATCAGTTTTATGGCAGCCTCAGATATATAACATAGCTGACATAAAATTCATTGCACTAGAGTTACTCATTCAGAGTATATTGGCTCTCATTTAATATTTAATGTTTAAAATTACTATCTGTTTTTCTATCTCTCAACACATTCAAACAAAACCAGAAAGGAATAAGAAGAAATTAGAAGGATAGGAGAAAAAGGGTACAATATTGTTAGCGGAAAGAGACAACTGGTGAAATCAGAATGGTGATCCAGGAAACAGAAAAATTAAAAATTACATGCAGAATTCTATTACCAATAAAATACACAAAAGGTATTTTTCTAGAACTTAAGGTTAAATTACGTATAAGAAGGCAGGAGAGAATATAATTTATTCTCTCTGAGAATAAGTAAATGCTACCTACTCTATGTTTGAACATTTCTATTAGAATTAATGATATTGTGTAAATTGTTTAGCATGGAAGGGATAATTTTCAGCATTTGTTTTTCCCAATAATAAATCGTATATTAATAATATATTACCAGATTATAAATGGTAGATGAGATATAATAGCTACATATATAAACATACACACAAATATGTTAATGGTTGAGTATGTTAGAATGAAATTGCTGACAAATATTTATTTCAGGTTTGTTATTGTTGTGTGCTTTCAAGTCCATTCCAACTCATAGCAACCTTATAGGACAGAGTAAAACTGTCCCATAGGGTTTCCAAGGCAATCTTTATTGAAGCAAACTGCCACATCTTTCTCTGTGGAGTAGCTGGTTGGGTTCAAACTGTTGACCTTTTAGTTAGCAACTAAGTGTTTAACCACTGCACCACCAGTGCTTGTATTTCAGACTTACCATGTGTAAAAGACTGTCTTTGATACTGGACAGAGACACATAGCTGATATTGAAGAACATAACAATTTGATGTGGGGATAGCTGAAATAATATAAAAATGAATGTAAAATGTGAGGTAAAATGGCAGAATGGTTAAAATCTCAGTTTCATGTTCTAGAGTCAAAATGACATGAATTCAGTCCTAGCCCTGTTACTTACTCTCTTTTTTGTCTCAGACAAATTGTCTCTTTTCTGTACATTGTTTATCTTCAAATGGGAAAAATAATAACCCCAGCACAAAGTTACTGTGAGGTCCCAATACTGTGTCTTACCTATAATAATTTCTTGGTAAAATTGACAGTATTCTTAAAGCAGCATGATTTACTAAGTCTCACTGGTAACATTTATGGAAGTGAGAAGAGGATTAGACTGAGCTTTACAAGGGAAAGTTTCACAGAGGAATTGAGATTTAGATCAGCCCTGCAGGAAATGATAACCATGGAGAGGGTAGTCAGAGAATTAGGCACGCAGAGTTGGGCTTTAATAATCACATCTAGGACATAGCAAGACACAGATTTGGCTGGAAGATAGTGGTTCACTTAGGCAGGGTGCTAAATGGGCAAGCAGGCACCATCTTTTGACCTCCTCTAACCCCACAAGAGGAAGACAGAATCACCATCAGTAGCCCAAGGCCTATTCCTGTGAGGACAGACATGCTGCCTCCCTCCAGCTCTTTCATCAACCTTGACATCAACCGTTCCTCCTGCAGCACCCAACACCTCTCTGCTGGGTTCAATAATTCACTGCGGCCATGCAGAACTCACAGATTATGAGGTTTATTAGGGAAGCAACAGGCTACAATTCAAGTTCAGGAACATGCTCAGTCTCTCTCAGCCTGCCGTCTCTCAGCTGACAGTCTCTCTCCCAGCGGTGTATGTCTCTCTCAGCAGTGAGTCTTTCTCATGTCACTTGACGGGCAGTGAAAGATTCCTTCTGCCTCTAGGAGGGCTCCTTTTGAGCCTGGCAGGGTGGCCAAACTAACCAATCCCAACATCAGAATTCTATCTACCTGAGAGAGAGCGAACTTCCAGAAAATTACTTTGTGTTGCTCCCAACAGAAATACCCTAGGTGGGTAACTTTAATAATCAGGAGCTACTCAGTTGCTCACAGCCAATTCCACGATGGAGTTTACAAAGACTTAAGGCTAGAAAAGCCACACTATGTAATTTACTGCACTGTACAGGGCCTATGCAGTTTATGCCCAAATGCTAACCTAAAGCCCTTCCAGCACCTGTGGAAGAAAGGCCTAGTGATCTACTTCCATTAAGATTATAGCCAAGAAAACCATATGGAGCAGTTCTACTCTGTAACATATGGGATCGCCATGAATCCAAATCAACATGAAGGCAACTAACAACAACAACATGACTTTGTAAATGAGGTACAGGGAGTCCCTGGGTGATACAAATGGTTTACATGCTTGGCTGCTGACCTAAAGGCTGGAGGTTTGAGTCCACCCAGAGGGCCCTTGGAAGAAAGGCCTAGTGAGCTCCTTCCAACAAATCAGCCGTTTAAAACCATACAGAGCACAGTTCTTCTCTGACACACATTGGGTCACGTTGAGTTAGAACTGTCGCAACTGCTTTTTTATTTTATTTTTTAATGAGGTAGAAAAGCTATGGGGTAGGATGTGGACTTCATATCATTAATAGTAGGAAACTACTGTAGGTCACTGAGCAGGGATGTGATGTGATGAAAAGTGTTTGAAACTAGTCTGCATTATAAATTCTCTGTAGACTGGACTAAAGAAAAGACAGGTTAAAGGTGGTAAATACTTTTATCTTGATTAAGATGATTTCCTGGAGAAGGTACATGTGAAGCTAAATTATAAAGGAGGGAAATGACCTATATTCATGGAAGGAGGCATCTGATTGAATTTTCTGAAATTGGTATGAATTACATTATCCCATGACATATTTTTCTGGCTGCAATATAGCTTTTACTAGTAAAAAAGTTGTAGCAGTGATCTAAAGCAAAACCAAACCCACTGCCATCAAATTGATTCTGACTCATAGCCACCCCCATTGGGTTCCCAAGGCAGTAAATTGTTATGGAAGTAGACTGCCTATTTTGGTTACCTACTACTGCTCTGACAGGAATATACCACAAATGGGAGGGTTGGAACAAACAGGAGCTTATTCTCTCACACTTTGGAGATTCTAAGTCCAAGTTCAAAATTCCAGGCTCTAGGGGCTGTGTGAAAGCCCCTCGAACTTAGGCTTCAGTTCTGCCTCTTGCTCCCAACCCACTGAAGCTAGAGGCATCACTTCACTCAGGCAGCTACTGGCTGCTGAGGCTAACAAGCCCAAGGTCGACAAATAAAATGGCACAGTCCCAATGTTACCAAACCACATGGCAAGCCATTAATTCAAGTCCATTGAAAGTCCCAAGGTTGGCAGAGCATGGCAGGCTGCTGAACAATGACATGGCTACATGCAGGGTTCAAGCATGTCATAAGCTAGAGACCATTCCCAAAACTGCTTCTTATATATGGGAAGCAGACCACATCCCTAAAGGAGCTACCCAGCTGCTCCAATACATTCCACCATGGAGTTAATTACCAATCTTACCACGGGGAATATTACATAGCCACTCAACCAGGCCTAGCCAAGTTGACACACAAACATAACTATCACATTGTCCCATCTTCCTTCCATGGTACAGCTGGTGGGTTTGAACTGCCAACCTTCTAGTTAGCAGTCAAATGCCTTAGGCACTGCACCATCAGAGTACTGATCCAGAATTCTGCAATTTAGTAACTAAAATTATGAGTTGGAACTGACTCGATGACACACAACACTAACAAGCCTGAAATAAATCATCGTTAGCAATTCCTTCTCATATACTCAATCAGCATTACCTTTTACATATCTGTGTGTATGTTTAAATAGCTAAAGAAAATATTTAACTTCTGAAAGAGTGATTGACTGTAGAGTGAAAAAGCTATTGTGTCATACTGGTTGTAGTTGAAAAATCTAGAGTCATTCAAGAAGACCTTGTTGATAAGATAAGGAGCCCTGGTGGTGCAATGATTAAAGCACTTCATTTCTAATAGAAAAGTTGGCAATCCAAACCTATCAGCCACTCCTTGGGAGAAAGATATGGTAATCTGCTTCAGTAAAGAAGATGGTCTTAAACCCTAAGGAGCACTTACTCTGTCCTATAGGGTCACTGTGAGTCAACGCAATGGCCATGAGTTTTGGGGTTTGGGTATTAATATATTAAGAAGATAAGAAGGAATGTCATTAGAATATGAGAGACAGGGCAAAGAGAAGTAAATGAAAGAATTGGAACTGCAGGCTTTTTGTTCAGGGTTGTTGTTGGGAGAGAGGTGACGTATTGCTCATACATTCACTTTGTCAAGGAAGTCAGTTTCTCTGGTTTCCCTTTCAGGTACAATCTTATGAAGACTTGCTGGCGCTGGAATGAGGACAACCGTCCCTCACCTAGAGTGCTACGCCTGCGCCTAGAAGCTGTTGCGCAAAATGCAGATGACAAGGCTGTGTTGCAAGTACCAGAGTTAGTGGTGCCTGAACTGTATGCAGCTGTGGCTGGCATCAGTGTGGAGAGCCTTCCCTACAGCCATACCATCCTTTGAGGACCCCCAAGAGAGAAACATTTATGTGTGACCACATGCTCTTGGAAACAATTCCTCCAAGAAAACTGAGAAATGGACTTTCTAGTGGGACATGAGGGAGAAATGAGACATGGATCCCAGGCCTTCCCTTACAGATTCCCCTAGAAACCTGAAGTGATCTTGGCTCAGGCTCTACACAGCAGACCCATGAGGCTGACAAGTACTTTGAGTCTTATTTCTGATGTCCCAGTCCTCAAGACTATCTTCAAGACCCAAAGTAGAAGTGGTGATAATGGAGGTTTTGGAAATCTGCCATGTTAGGTGAGGCATGTTACAAATGAGCTGTTTTACTCCCATCCCAGACAGTGTCCTCTTCAAGGATACTTTCATCCAGACTATTATACAGTCTAGAAAAATTAGACTCAAATGAGGAAACTGAAAGTCAATGAAGGAGTTCAAGAGAAAGAAAAAAACTTTTTTTGTTTTGCTTAAGAGTTTAAGTATGGACCAAGGCCATCCTTCCAAGCGATGGTGGAGGAAGGACTTAAATTCTTCAGTCCTGGTGTCCTCACGTAGGGCTGGAGGAGAACTATAAAGGAAAACTTCTGAGTTTTTCCTTGAGTATAGGTAAAAAATAATCTTTTTTTTTAAATCTAAGGCAGATGAACACTGTTGATATTGCTTTTAACAACAGGCTAGAGGAGTCGATTCATGAATAAGAGCATTGGATATATATTGTTCATCAGGCTAGCTTCTTAGTCTCTATAAAAAATAAGACTGAAGCTCGAGAGTCAAAGTTTATTCAGAAATGAAAATTCTGTGTGTGTGTGTGTTTAATAATTAGGAAACATGGAAGTTAAGCAAGAAAACCTTAGTATCCCAGGTCTTTAATAAGGGCTAGAAAAGATGTAGTCTGAGAAGGAAGGATCGTATCTTCTAATTTTGAATTATCCATTTATTTGCGTGAAACTTATTTTCTTAAACTAATATTTATTGAAGTAGTCCTGGTGACTTTTCTGGCATACAACTGCCTTATTCTCTATAATAGAGGTGGTAAGAGTAAATAAATAGAAGTTAATGCCAATAGAAAATTCGAGAGATGACTTCATTTTCAGAAAGGGATTTTTGCACACATAAAATGGAGATCTTACCTACCTCACAGGGTTGTTGTGAGGACTGAGAGTATTTATAAAGAATCTGTCACATATGTACTCAAGAAATGTAAGTTTTCTTTCTTTTCCATTCCTGCTCCTGAACTTTTCATACTTTTCATTTAAAATGTACGGGGTCTGAGAGCCTAAATCTGTCAATTATACTGCATGGCTGGATATGCCTTAAGATAGGTATGGTATAAATTCTATGACTAAAATGATGAAGTCATCCTTTTTGTGTAAGCTTCTGGATGGTGACAGTAGTCTCCTACTCTTTGAAAATATTCAAAATACCATAATGTTGGCAATTCAGTGGAACGTGGTGATCTGTGATTTTAAACAATGCTCTGGCTAACCTGGGAGTGACATCCAAGATGGATATAGGAAAGATGACTGACAGTGGAAAATTTTGTTGAAGTTGGAATTCTGCTGGAGTCATGAGGTGTCAGCTATCTGAATATTGACACTGGCAGCTGTGGGAATACCACAATGACAGATCGGGATTTAAAAGGATGGCAAATGGAAGAAGGAAGTAGAGTGGCATAGCACACAATGATAAAGTGCTGTGGAATTTCATAATTGCCTCTCAGCAGTTCACTTAAGTCAAATGTACAGAGTATTTATTTATTCAAATATTGTTTGTTTGTTTTAAATCTGTTAAGATCTTAACCTAGGTGGGTAGGATCCTCTGTGTTGAACACTATGATTGATGCTGGGCACAAGAAACAAGGCATGTTGGATTAACAGTATAGCAAGTTACAGACACATTACATATTAACTTGTACAGGTATTTGTTAATTACCAATTGTGGTAAGTGCTATGAAGAAAAAGGATATAAGGGAGTATGAAATGGAGACCTTCCTAAAGAAATGGCATTTAAACTGAAACCTTAGGGATGTGTGTATAAGCCAGATAAACAGTGAGAAGAAAACCTTTCCAGGAAAAATCCTGGGGTAAGAGAAAACACAGTTTGTTTGAGGAAATGCAAGGCGGTAAGCATGAGTTAGGGGGAAAGTGGCACAAGATAAAATGGAGCACTGCTCTGTCATCCCGTACATTCATGTTTATTTTGGGAAGAGGGAAGGAAGCAGGTAACTACTATTTAAAACATTTATCCCTAATTTTATTTGTTTTTCTGGATATAGGTCTGGAAAACTGTATATACAAATTGCTTACTCTAAAACTGAGTCTTCTCCTCCATTGGCCAGGCTTGTCCAAAAGGGAGATTCTATTTCTAGGGTTATATTTCTGGCATCTTTAACCTATCAGCCAAATTACATATTTCCAAGCCAATGAATGGAATAAAGTTGAATCTAAGTTAGAAATTTGTTTTATTGATTTGATTACCTCCTCAGAATCCAACTAGCAACAATGCTTTATTATTAAGAGATTTCCAGTACTACTTGGATACAGTATTTCAATGGGACCTCACAACAAAGTCATTTATCTTGGAATAGTCTGAACCAGTAGTCCTCAATTATGCTCATGCATAGTACTAGTGATTTCTATGGTAGACCAAGGTATTTTGTTGTTAGAATAATAGTGGGATTTTAAAAATCATTTTTAAAGAAAAAGTAATTTAATGGATAGAATTTTCTTAACTGTGACCATGCCATAATATTTTTTCTTAAATTTTGCTTTATCATAAACAAGTAGCAAATACAATGGAAAATTAGGAGGATAGCCTACTATGCTTAATTCAACAGACTGTTTTTGTTTTAGACATAAGCACTAGTGATTATGTATGTAGTAGTAGCATATCATAGTGTCATATACTGGGAAAAATTGTTAATTTGAACAAGGGAATTAAATATATTGTCATGTCATGATAATCTAGAAATAGCTCCAACTGCTCACCATGCATGAACTTATCAGAAATAATGGTGTGGAAATTTTGGAAGTTCTTACAAAAAATTAATACCATTGACTGGTTAAAAAATGCTATGATTGAAATTCTCTAGGGAAGGCTATTAAAGTAAAGAGAAGAGAAAGGTAAGTTGATGGATAAAGGTTGAAAAAGACCATGCCATCTATTCCGGCATTAAAAGGAAAAATAAATAAACAAACCACCGTACAGTACTGCTTTAGACCATAAAAGCTTACTGCTTACAGCTTACTGCTTTAGTCCTTCACCTGAATGACACAATTTTTGTTCTATAAGCCCTGACAACTTTTGTTCTATAAGCACAAAATCAAAGCTATTCAGATTACTAATAGCCACATGAATATGAAAGGCCATCATTTCTAGTATTTATCATTGGAAAGTGAGAATATGCTTCTGAAGATTGGAAGTAGGAATGATTTCACAGTCAAGTGCTTTAACCACTGTGCCACCAGGACTCCTTCTTGATAATTTTAAATCATGGTAAAAAGGCAAAAAAGAGGTGTATGGACAAAGGGAGCATGAAAGAGAGGTCAAAGAAAGAGAAAATTTTAGATGTAGGAAAAATCCATAAAGCAATTTTAAATATTAAGTTAACAACGATAAGAATGAACCATTTCTGACCAGTCCCCTAACTTGATTCATCCCCATGAAGCTGAAAGCAATGAACTTTTTTTTTTTAAATTTTTATTGTGACTTGAGTGAAAGTTTACAGAGCAAATTCACTTCCATACACCAGCTCACATACACTGTCTCATGACATTGACTACAATTTCCCACAATGCAACAGCTCCCTTCTTGTTCCTCCCCATAGTTACCTCTTCCCTGTGTCCTTCCCTCCCATGCACTCCTGTACTCCTGCCCCTGAAGCTGTCTCCCTGCACATACACTGCCCTTACTCTCCCGTGATTGATCTCTCCAAGGAGTGTATCTACCTAATGTAAATGTTCAGCTCATATGCCTGTCTTTTGCTTAGCTGGAAGCACAGGAGTGAGTTCAATTCCAGACCTGAAGGGCAGCTAGGGGGCATAGTCTCAATGGTTCCATCAGGCTCTATCAGACCAGCAAACATGGTCCTTTTTTTTTTTTTTTTATGATTTTGAGTTTTGTTCCACATTGTTCTCCCCTCTATCCAGGATCTCCTAAATAGATCCCCCTATGAGTGGTTGACAGTGGTAGCTGGGCACATCTAGTTCTTCTGGTCTCATAGTTGTATAGGCTGAGGATCACATAGTATAATGGTCGCTCAAACTAATTGTTTCCATGAAAGCAATGAACTTTTAAAAACTTTAGTGGGAAATCATTATTTTGTCAATAAATATTATATATTTGATTGACTCATTAAGCCTCAATTTCAGGTGAAGCTGGAAATGTTTACTTTTTACCTACATCATGATAGTACTTTGAAGCTGTTGAACACAGACAGATGGTATTAGCAAAAAACGGAATAGTAGTCCAAAGAAAAGACTTCATTTGGCTTCATGTAAGTAGCCCAAACCCTTATTTTTTCATGAATAAACTTTGGTGATATTAGTAAGTGAGCCCTAATATGAAGCCTATGGGAACTGATATTGAATGCACAAAATATTTTCACTGTTTGCAGCCCAAGTAAAAATGTGTGAAAAGAGTCTTACATAACTGTTGTCCAACTCAGTAGCAATTTGCCACATGTGGCTATTTAAATAATGATTTAAATTAATAATATTTAAAAATAAAAATTCAGCTCCCCAGTCCTTACCTACATTTCAGTGTGTAGAAGCCATATAGAACATTTCCATTTCTACATCACTGCTGTATAACATGCCAAACCCACTGCCATTGAGTCGATTTTGACTCAAAGTGACCCTATAGGACAGAGTAGATCTGCCCCACAGGGTTTCCAAGGCTGTAAATCTTTGTGGAAGCAGACTGTCTCATCTTTCTCCCACAGAGTGGCTGGTAGGTTTAAACACTGACGTTTTGGTTAGCAGCCAAATAACTTAACCACTGTGCTACCAGAGCCCTTTGTACAAAATCCAAGAAGACCCCAAAACACAAATACTTTATCATTTTGCAACTTTATCATGATTCGAGTGATAAATTTCTTTGGACTTAAAATACGAAGACATAAGTAAATATATTATCATATTTCACCAAAAAACAAGCCAAATGGATCACAGCCTATATTTTCAGGGATACTAAGGAGTATTTTGAGAGCATTTGTGGTGCAGTGATAAAATTCCCCTGTTCCGTGTAGGATTCCTGGTCAATTCAAGTTATGTGCAGCCACCACCTATCTGTCAGTAGAGATGTGTGTGCTGTTACAATGTTTAACAGGTTTCAGCAGAGCTTCCAGGCTAAGGTGGACTAAGAAGAAAGGCCTGGTGATCTACTGAAAAGCAGCCAATGACAACTCTATGGATGACAAAGGTATGATCTGCACCTCAGTAAGGAACGGCAGAGGGCCAAGCAAGACCAGTCAGTGTGTGTTGTTCTTTCTGCGTGGCGATGGCAAGTTGATGGCATCTAACAGCCATCTAAATCAAGATGGAAGATTTTGGTCAAATTTCTGTGTGTATTTTTGTTGTAAATATTATACCAATTCTTCCCAGTTTGCCTCAGATGGTCTACATTTTAAAACTGAAAGTCCCACAATCCAGGAAACTCTTCAGAGTCTTGGGCAAACTGGGATGGTATAGTCACTCTTGTGGTAAGGGATGTTGCTTTATGTTTCTTATGTATTTTCCGTAACGATGGCCTATCATAAAGACTGAGTAATTTGTCTATATTAACAGTGATGCAATAATGGCTTATTTGTAAGGTGTAACCTGGTCTAGTCTGTCTTTCTAGTCACTCTACTTCTATGAATCTAGTATTTTAGCTATGTGCTTGTTTTCCCAAAACATGCACCACACTAGTAACTTTGCTGAGGGCATTTTATGCCTGAAAGCCTCTTCCATCTCACTGAACATTTGCCAAAGTCTAATTTAAACTCTGGTAGCATAGTGGCTAAGGCACTTGACTGCTAACCAGAAGGCTGGCAGTTCAAACCCACCGGCCACTCCTTGGAAGGAAGATGGGGCAATCTACTTCCACAGTGATACTGCCTCGGAAACCCAAGGAGGGGTCGCTATGAGTTGGGTCCAACTCGACGGCACATAACAACAACAACAATTTAAACGGCACATCTGTTCATAAGATTTCCCTAATATTTTCATTTCTTCAGCTTCCTCTGCCCCCTAATAGAATGGTTTGCTTCCTCTCTTGCATTACCAGAATACTTAACATATTCTTTATTATAGGAATTGCTCTTTTGTGCTAATATTTGTCTATATACTTGTTTTCGTTTCTAGACTATATATGCAAAAGGCTCTTTTTATTTCTTTGCATCCAGTTTCCAGCACATAGACTATACAATTATGTTTTATACATTTCAAGACCTCTTTTACACGTTATCTTATTTGATCCTCTCAACAATTCTGTGAGCTTGGCAAAGTTAACTGTAGTATATCCACTTGGCTATTGAACAAGTAGCCTAAGAGATAGTGACTTGATCAAGGTTAGGTAGTGGTAGTGCTGGGATTAACTCACAGGTATTCTGAGTGCTACTCTTTCTTCTAAATCCCACTTCAGGTTAAGGGGTCATTTAGCAGACAGAATTCCTGTTTGTTGGTAACAGAAGGGTGATAAAGAGTATGTGAAAAACACTGTGTAAAAGCTCATTCTATCTTTTGTCATCCTTCAAAACCACCCCACACCGAACTGTTTGTTCACTTCCACAATTTAATTTTATCTGGTGAGATACCTAGGCTAAATCATTCTTTGATCATAAATCAAACTGCCAAAACTTCAGGCCAGTAAAGATTAACCCTTAAAGAATGTACGAAGCACATTAGAAGTCTTTATTTAAAATATCGCCTCTATATCATGACTATCAAGGAGTTTTAGCGCCTTTCAAAACCTCAAACCTTTCCTCTGATGGATGACTTCAACTTTTATCTATTATAGTCTTCTAGCTCTCTGATGGGAAGGAAGGTTGGGCAATCTACCTCCATAGTGATACCGCCTCAGAAACCCAAGGAGGGGTCGTTATGAGTCGGGAGGACTCGATGGCACATAACAACAACAACAACAACAGCTGTCTGATAGGGAGCTCTGGTAGCATAGTGGCTAAGGCACTTGACTGCTAATCAGATGGCTGGCGGTTCAAATGCACCAGACACTCCTCGGAAGGAAGATGGGGCAATCTACTGCCCTAGTGATTCCCTAGCGATACTGCCTCTGAAACCCAAGGAGGGGTCGCTATGAGTCTGTCCAACTCGGCACATAACAACAACAGCTGTCTGATAAGGAGCTCTGGTAGCACAGTGCCTAAGGCACTTGACTGCTAACCAGAAGGCTCCATAGTGATACTGCCTAGGAAACCCAAGGAGGTCGTTATGAATCGGGCCAACTGGTCGGCACATAACAACAACAACTGTCTGATGCTAGTAATCATTGTCCAAAGAGGAAAGATACATGTTAGAAATTAAGCAGGAAAAACTGATGTATTATGGCTCTCCCATTTGGATTCTGGGTTTTATCTTTACACATCTCACAAATTAAAGGGAAAAAAAGCCACACCCACCTTACAGGATTGTTACTGAGATTTACCAGTTTCCCTGGAGTTGATTCTGACTCTTGAGACTCCGTATAGAAGTCCCTATAGAACCACACAGAGTTTTCAATGGCTGAATTTCAAATAAATAAATCTCCAGGCCTTTCTCTCAAAGCATTTCTGGGTGGACTCGAATCTCCAACTTTCGGTGTTACTGTTTGCATAACCAAGGAGTCCTCCATGATAATTTGATACACGAAAATTAAAATCGACTTGTAAATCTTAGTTCTAAGCTCATACCAAAGTGATATTATGTTTTCACACTTTTGTCCTCTGTTAATACAATAGATCTACTTATTTTTATGTTAATATGCTTCGGATCCTCGGAAAACAAAGTTCTCGTCATCGTTACTCTCCTACCAAGTTTTCCGCGGGGAAGCGGGAAAGCGGGGAAGCGGGGAGGCAGAGGCGTAAGAGTCTTTCCTGCCCGCAGTGACGCGTTTATCCTGGTCTGCCTGACGTCAATACCAAGCGCCGGGCGGCACGTTGGCTGGTCTCACCAGGCGCAAAAATGGCTATGGCCAGCGATTTCTACTTGCGCTATTATGTTGGGCACAAGGGCAAGTTTGGACATGAGTTCCTGGAGTTCGAGTTTCGACCAGACGGTAAGCAGTGGAGAGGCCTCTTGCGGGGTGATGGGAAAAGGGAGGTAAGGCGGAGAGCCCTTGAAGAATAGGGGAGGTGGGGTGCAGCAAGAGAACCTTGCTGGGCCTGAAAGTGTACCTTGGGACCTGAGGCTACTGCCTGAGCCAAAACAAATAGCTTAAGAATCTAGGAGGCCTAAATTAGTTTTGTGACAATTGATTGGTGTGTATTAATTAATTCAGTAAGGCTAATTCTGTCACATACTGAAAAAAAGTTGAACCTCTGGTAATCAGCATCCCGAAATTAGTGCACCGGAAGGCATCTTAAGGCCACCTGTAACGACTTGATATGTGAACATTTTTAACAACACCTCCACTAAGCAGTGGACCAATGTATGCTTAAAAATCTTCCGGTGACCGATAATTTTCGGACTATCCATTCATTCCCCCCGCCCCATGCAGTGTATGTAAGGTAGCAGGTCCAGAAAGACGAATGAGACAGGTTCGGGGTTAGCCTGACGTGTAAACAAATGAGCGTGGTGATGTGTTTTGGGTGTTTAAATACAATTGCCAGCCACTCCTCGAAAGGAAGGTTGGGCAATCTACTTAAGTAGTGATACTGCCATGGAAATCCAAGGAGGGGTCGCTATTAGTCGGGGCCAACTCGATGGCACATAACAACAACAGCAACAACATCACGGTATGCATTAGGAATACAAAAGGGGGAATGGTTAATTCAACACAAAGAATCAGAGAAATCTTCCTAGAGAAGGTGACACTTGAGCGAAATCTTGAAGTAGGAATAGGTATTTCAGGTCCTTTGAAGAGAAAAGGCAGGTGTACTGGGAGAGGAGCATGAGCAAAGGGCAAGGTGAAACTGCCTCAGTCCATACAATGTGTAGCAGATTCTGTCTTTTGACAGCTAAGACTCTAGAGATTGAACTTTATCCACTTGCAATTGTTGTTGTTGCTGTTATGTGCCATGGAGTCGGACCCCCGACTCACAGAGACCCCTCCTTGGGTTTCCGAGGCGGCATCACTAGGGAAGTAGATTGCTCAACTTTCCTTCAAAGTGGCTGGTGGGTTTGAATCGCCAGCCTTCTGGTTAGCAGTCAGGTGCCTTCAGCACTAGGCTACCAGAGCTCCCCACCTGCAATTAGGGCAGTTCAACTAGGTAGATTTTATTTTTTGAATGCATATGTGCTGGGAATATGGTAAATAAAAAATCAAGGGTACAGTAATGGGTAAGGTTCTTTAATTTCCCTCCAATAGTTTATGTCTGGGTGGAAGACACAGACATGAAACTTACCACAAAGTATTGTGGATATTAAGTGCTATGTTTATGCTTTGGACAAAAACTATAAGAGCATGAAAGAAAAATTAGAGGAATGATGACATACTAGGAAAGGGGAAGAGTATCAGGCATTTCAGGCAGAAATCAAGATAATTACAGCTCTGCAATTATTTAGAAGGCTAAATCACCTGGTTTACACTTATCCTTGCCATGGTCTATTCTAAATTTGATTAAGGAGCTAAAATAGACTTGGATTCTTCATCTGTGCTTTTCTTAAGATATTTTCATTCTCTTCACCAGTGAACATTCAGTTTGTTCATAACACTTTTAGCCAGTCATATAAATTAACTACCTTGATATTATCAGGGTAGTTAATTTTATGCCAGCACAAGTGGTTCTTATCCATTTATCTACTACCACACTATACCACATACTTTCATTAATAATACAAGCATATCTCAGAGATATTGCAGGTTTGGTTCCAGACCACTGCAATAAAGCAAATATTTCAATAAAGTGAGTCACACAACTTTTTTGGTTTCCCAAAAAAACAAAAACCAAACTCACTGCCGTCGAGTTGTTTCTGACTCATAGCGACCCCTCCTTGGTTTCCCAGGTAGTATCACTACAGAAGTAGATTGCCCAGTCTTCCTCTGAGGAGTGGCTGGTGGGTTTGAACCACCAGTCTTCTGGTTAGCAGTCAGACCCTTAGGCACTATGCCATTGGTTTCCAGTGCATGTAAAAGTTATCTTTACTTTAAACTGTATCTATTATGTATGCAATAGCATTATGAAAAAGTTTGAAATATTGTGAGAATTATCAAATGTGATACAGAGACACATGCTATTGGAAAAATGGGGCTGACAGACTTGCCACAAACTTTCTGGTGGTGATGGGAGAGACAAAATAACTGCAAGGCACAATAAAGCGAAGTGCACTAAATGAGGTTTGTCTGTAATGAGTCACAAAGACGATTCCTAAAGGGTACGCCTCACTAGCCCTTCTCCCCCAAAAAACAAAACTTGTTGTAATATGCAGTACCCTGTTGTTTTAGAGGGATAGGACCACAGTGCTCTATACCTGGACAGCTGACTGGCCATGAGGAAAACCATGTGTCAGAGACTACAAAAGTCGTGGTTGTTTAAAATTAAAAATAAATCAGCTAACTGGCTTTTATGTAGAACCAGAACATAGTTTGTATGCTTACTAGTCACAATACTAAAACATTTATATTGCTGTAAAAACCAAAAACCAAATCCACAGCCATTGAATTGATTTCAACTCATAGCGACTCCCATAGGGTTTCAAAGACTGTAAATCTTTACGGAAGCAGACCACCTCATCTATCTTCTGTGGAGCTGCTGGTGGGTTTGAACTGCCAACTTTTTGGTTAGCAGCCCAATGCCTTAACCACAGCACACTGGAACTCCTCAGTATTGTTGTAATCATGCACATTAATTTAAAGGGAAATACTTAAAACATTTTGCAGTTGTGGAAAACATGAGTATTGGGAGAAAGTAGACATGAATCCTGTATGATCCTGGGCAAGTTACTTAATTCTGTTTTGTTACTAATGGTTAAGGATAATAAAATTTCTTTCAGGTGTTTTTAACAGATTAGAGTAGATGTTCTAGGTAAAGCATTTAGTATCAATACAGACATATAACAAACTTAGAAAGAAATGTTTGTCTTTTAGATATCTTTTCTAGTTCATGACACAGTTTAAGAAAATGGGCCTTAAAAATGACCCTCCCATTATATAGTATAGGCATGAAGTATTAAAAATATTTTGACTAGCTTCAGCCAACTTAGCATCAAGTATTTATTGAGTGTCTATGCTTTGATGGCATATGCCTAAGGCATTTGACTGCTAACCAGAAAGCTAGCAGTTCAAATCCACCAGCTACCCCTCGTAAGGAAGATTGGGCAATCTACTTCTGTAGTGATCCCGCCTCAGAAACCCAAAGAGGGGTTGCTGTGAGTCGGATCTGACTCAACAGCAGTGAGTTTGGTTTGGTTTTGGTATGTCCTAACAGTGCTAAGGCACTTGACTGCTAACCAGAAGGCTGGTGGTTCAAACCCACCAGCCACTCCTCGGAAGGAAGGTTGGGCAGTCCTACTTCTGTAGTGATACTGCCTTGGAAACCCAAGGAGGGGTCGCTATGAGTCAGGGCTGACTCTACGGCACGTAACAACAACAGTGATCTTAAGGCTAGTGGTTCGAACCCACCGGCCACTCCTCAGAAGGAAGATGGGACAATCTGCTTCCGTAGTGATACTGCCTCAGAAACCCAAGGAGGGGTCCTTATGAGTAGGTCCCCCTCAACGGCGCATAACAATAACAACAACATTGATCTTAAACTACTGGTTAGCATTTACCTTCAAGCTGATTCTAACCTATCTCATGTTATTTACATTATGCCACCTTATTTCATGGCAACAGCATTGGGCTGCTAACTGAAAGATTGGATTTGAGTTCACCCAGTAGCATCTTGGAAGAAACGCCTAGCAATCTGTTTCCAAAATATCAGCCATTGAAAACTATGGCGTATAGTTCAACCCCGACACAAATGGGGTTGCCATGATTTTATACTAGGAGGGAGGAAATATTAATTAATATAATTTTAAAATTGCTTATAGTGTCATGTATTTTTTAGCAGTTTTTGCTGTTATAGATTGAATTTTTTTGCACTCCCTACAGGAAAGCTTAGATATGCCAACAACAGCAATTATAAAAATGATGTCATGATCAGAAAAGAGGTAAGTTTTTTTTTTTTCTTACATTTAGCCGATTTTCCTCATGTATGTTGAATTTGCAAAAGTACATCTAAGACCATTGTAAAGAAGCCAGCTTACAGAATGAAAAGTTATTCAATTTAAATTAGAATTGTAGCATATGTAACAACAAAAGAAGCTATCTGAATATATTAGATTGTAGTCTCACATTTAAACATGCCATCTAATTTCTTTTATATTTTTATCTTTTAAAAACTAATTAATGACCATGATTTAAAAATAGTACACATTTTAAATTCAAAACTCAAAATTAAGTACAGAAAAGTTCAGACCACTTAACTGATGGGTGCTTGGTATTTGTCTCTCTTTATGTCCTAGATTTTGCATTATCACCATTTACTACTCTCAAATGTATAATAGTCTATGTTTCAAAGATGGAATATAATGTAGTAAATGGGCTAGTGATGAGAAGAGGGAAAAATACATGTTATAGGAAAAGGCTAGAGAGTGAAGAAAAATAAGTATGAATGATTCTCATACTTTTGGAATCAGAATTAAATTTTTCTATAGTATTGTATTTGAGGGAGCTTTGGTGGTGTAGTACCTAAGGCATTTGACTGCTAACCAGAAGGCTGGCAGTTCAAATCCACCAGCCACTCCTCAGAAGGAAGATTGGTCTCTCTACTTCTGTACTGATACCACCTTGGAACGCAAAGAGGGGTCACTCACTATGAGTCGGATCCAACTTGATGGCAGTGAGAGTATTGTATTTGAATATTCAGGGTTTATAACTCCTTTTTATCATTTTTTTCTGAGTTGTGGAAGAAATAGGCAAGCATGAAATTTTTATTATAACTATTTTCAGGCTTATGTACACAAGAGTGTAATGGAAGAACTGAAGAGAATTATTGACGACAGTGAAATTACAAAAGAAGATGATGCTTTGTGGCCTCCCCCTGACAGGGTTGGCCGACAGGTTTGTGTTTAATAATTCTTTAAATAGAAAAATATTAAAAATTGTTAATGTAGTTGTTATGTTTTCACCCTATTTATTTAGCGTGAGTCTTTATTGAGTCTTGATTTTACTCTTACTATGCACCTCATAGGAGCTCTGGTAGCATAGTGCCTAAGGCATTTGACTGCTAACCAGAAGGCTGGGGGTTCAAACCCACCAGTCACTCCTCGGAAGGAAGGTTGAGCAATCTACTTCCGTAGTGATACCGCCTCGGAAACCCAAGGAGGGGTCACTATGAGTCGGATCCAACTTGATGGCAGTGAAGTTAGTTTAGGCACCTCATAAATATTTTTGAATTTTATTTCATTTCACTTCATTTTTTGGGATACATCTGAGTAATAAAGAAGTCAATGCATAGTTCTAAATTTAGACATCTTTCTGGATAGTCATCACCATAGCCAACCCTTCAAAATTAGGTTATTTTCATACTATTATGAATGATTTCTATTGTATGTTAACTGCCTTTATTAAAAATAAGTACAAGTACTGTCAGTTCGAAACTTCTGGATTTTAATTGACTATATAAAGTTCACTTTCTCCAAATTCTGTAAGTTTAGAATTCTTACTTGCTTTCTCATGTCCCAGAGAAGAATTTGATTGGTTTCTTTGTTCTTTGCCTCTCATATTCCCTTCAGAATAATTGATGTTTCTCAAAGGCTTCTGAAGAACTCTGAAGGCCTAATTTCATTCTGTAGAAAGACAGTTTGGTTTCAGAATTGGGTCTTTTCAACTCTTGGAGAAATGAGATACGACCCCTGGAAGGAAGAAATATTTAATTACACTTTTGTCTGTTCTTGAGGATAATACCTTATATCACCTTTGACTAGAAGAAAATGTGGAGAAATCTAACAGATGCTGACACTCTGTAGCAGTAACTTAACTCTTCTCTTTAAAGAAACATTATTTAGGAAAGCAAAGGTAATAGTTAATGTATTTATTTAATACACTATAAGCATTTTTAAAAAGTAAATTTAGACTTGAGGTTGTTTTATGCTCATAAGGACTAAAAACAACAACTGCAGCAGCACACTTTCGTATCTTTTAGTTTCAAGGAGAATCTAGTGCATCATCTCTTTACTTGATGATGTGTTTATGTATTTTGATTAGTGGGGAGGATTGAGCATGCTCCAAAAATGTAGTATCATTATGTCATTGTTTGAAAACCTTGATTAGTTCTCCATTTGCTGTGCATAGCACACTGTGCATAATATGGTCTCTTGTGCATAATTTAGACTATCCTTAATGGCCTCTATTTGTCAATATAACTTGAAAACTCATTATAGATGTAGCCTCTTAATGATTTCAATTTTGCAGATAAACAAAAAAAACATAATGATTATGGCACAGTAGGAATATCTATGTTATGTTGTATTTTTTACTAGTTCTTAGTTTTAATTGTTTTGTGAAGTCAAGAGTGAAGGGTATGTGTTCAGGTATTAGCATTATCATTGAGGGGTTGTAAATCTCAACAACTCTTTTTTTTTATTTTATGAGTCTTGGATTTCACATTTGTAAAATGAGGCTGATAAAGCCTACCTTATTTTAGGGATCAGGAGCTCTGGTGGCATAGTGCCTAAGGCTATTTTGTCTGCTAACCAGAAGGCTGGCAGTTCAAACCCACCAGCCACTCCTCGGAAGGAAGGTTGGGCAATTTACTTCCATAGAGATCCTGCCTGGGAAACCCAAGGAGAGGTCATTATGAGTGGAATCGACTCGGCAGTGAGTTTGGGTTTTTTTTTTAGTTTATTTTAGGGATTACAAAGAATGTTTATAAAGTCCCTACCAATAAAGTATGACACATATTAGATACTAAAATGGTAGTATTGATAACTTACTTATATAGCCTGCTGGAAATGGAAATATGGTTATATTTATTATTTTAATAATAGTTTCATTATATATATATATATATATATATATATATATATTACAGCATTGTGCTTCAGAGTTTCTGTTTTCAGGACATAGTTCCATGTATTACAGATCAAGTTTCTTATTTTTCCTAATTACTGTTAGAAAACTTGCAGCCAAAATTTAGCAAAGATGCAGGATATTTCTGAGATGGATTTTTATATTAATTACATTCCTTGGTCTATTTTATTTTTTTCAGGAGCTTGAAATTGTAATTGGAGATGAACACATTTCTTTTACCACATCAAAAATTGGTTCCCTTATTGATGTAAACCAGTCAAAGTAAGTATGGTAGGCATTTTTACAAAATTGATATAATTTATTAGAGACAATCATTTTTGGACTATGGCCAGATTGTTTGCTGAGATTACTTCAGTGATATCCAATCAGTTATGTAGCTATAGCTGATTTGTATACTATTAAAGTATTGCTATTTTGTCTGCTAAAGAATCTAACCATATTTATTTCACTGATTACTAAAAAAATTTTAATTCAATAACTATATATAATAATGTTAAATTTTTTTTTGTATAAAAATCTGGATTCAGTGTTAGAAAATTTAAAGAAAAGAAATCGTTACTGAATTATAGTACCTTGTTAGCCCCATCTCATAGAATTCCTTCTTGTGTTCAATACTTGAAAGAAATGGAAAATGTCCAGTGACCTGAAGTATGCCTTTAGCTACCTGTGTCTTCCCAAGTTCTGTTTCTCCTTTGAGCATTTGTAGCACTTACCATTCATGAACTTTGTTTAAAAACGTCTTCTTTCTGCCTCTAGCTGTTTCCTCCTCCTTCCTCACCTCAAAATATCCCCGTAGTGCTCTGTAAAATGGGTATGGGGGCAGCAATCTCCTCTGACCTCCTCTGACTTTCATGAGGGGGAGACAGAATCACCATCAGCAGCCCAAGGCTGATTCCTATGAGATGGAAGCCAGGCATGTTTCCCCCACTCCAACTTTTTACCAATTTTGACGCTAACCCTCCTTCCATGGCACTCTCTACTTCTCTGCTGGGTTCGATAATTCGTTGCAGTAGCCACATAGAACTCACAGACAATACTCATGATTATGGAGTTTATTAGAAAAGTAACAGGTCACATTTTAGGTTCAGGAGTGCTCAAGATACAGTTCTTCAATCAGGATAGTCTCTCCTCTGCCATGCCTATAGTCATGCTTCTCTTTGGCACTTGGCCTCATGTCCTGGCCTCTGCCCTGCTTGGACAAGTGTTAGAAAACTCTTATCTCTGCCGATAGGTGCATCTAAGTGCACCCCCCTCTGCCAGTAAGTCTTCTGCCCACAGGCATTCAGCATTCTCACTCCGTGGGCCGACAAGCCCACCAGTCTGTCTTGTGTCAGTCTCTTGGTTCTGCTGCCTTTGCTACTGCTGTCTCTTTGCTGGTCTCTCTGCCAAGGAGGTCCAGCGTAGGGATGTCAGGTCCAAGGATGCACTCTCCTCCACCTCCACTCTTCTCTCTTGATAGCAGTGAAATTTGCCCCTTCTGCCTCTAGGTGGGCTCGTTTTAAGCCTAGAGGAATGACAAAACTGACCAGTCCCCACGTTAGGGTTCCATACACCTTATTTCCATGGTCCCACCCCCACAAGAGGGAGCTCTGGTAGCATCGTGCCTAAGGCACATGACTGCTAACCAGAAGGCTGGCAATTCAAACCCACCAGCCACTCCTCAGAAGAAAGATGGGGCAATCTACTTCCATAGTGATACTGCCTAGGAAACCCAAGGAGGGTCACTATGAGTCGGGTCCGACTCGACGGTACATAGCAATAACAACAATAACACCCCCACAAGGGTGCCATATACCTTATTTACGTTACTAATAAGCTGTCCTATCCCCTTGGTAGACCACAGACACTTCACATTTATATAGTTCTACCTGGTCTTCTGGTGGGAGTCACAAAGACCATGGCTACAGGAGCCATACTAATTCACTGCACCACGCGCTCTTGCTTTTTCCTGTCATACTAAACTGTAATAACTTACGTGTCTGCCTTACTATTTTGAGTGTACACTCCATGAGAATCTTGCTGTGTCTCCAAAACTAGCATAGTATCTGACAGAATAGGTGCTTTATGAATATTTGTTAGTGAATAGGAGGAAGGAAGGGATGCATAATAACTATTGGACACAAAAGACCATGTTCATAAAGACCAACCAAATGCTATTAAACTATCAATTCTTTTTTATTCATTTACTTTCCCACAGTAGGTGAGGGTAAGACATCCGTACCATGATGGTGGGAATATAAATTGTACAGAGTTTTGGGAAAGTAATTTGATAATATGTATCAAAAACTTTTAACATTTTGCATTCATTTTTGACCTAGTAATTTTGTTTCTGGCAATCTGTGCTAGGCAGATAATCTCAAATATTGGAAAAGTTTTATTAAGCGTAAAGATGTTCATTGAAGCATTATTTATAATTGAAAATATATCCAAATGATAAAAAGGAGAGGATTTCTAATTAAAATAATTACAAAATTATTTTTAATGTCAAAAAAAGTGAAAGGAGCACCAGGAGTGGTTACTGGTATGGGGAAAATAATAGAGAAACACATCAAAATATTATCCTTACTCCCAGAGGTCAGTAGCATAGAATTATGAGTATTGATTTCCCTCCCCCCAATCTTTATAATTTAATCAGCTTTATCCTTTTTTTTTTAAAAATGAGGCATACATGTGTATATTACAAGGAAAGAAAGAAAATATGAACAGGAATAGCAGCAAACAATATTTATAGTTTTTTTCATTACAGAGTGGATAGAGATGTTAATTGCTTAGTATGTTCATTTTTGTAGTCAGCAAATTCTTTCCTTCTGAATTCCTTTAATTTAATTGTTTCAGGGTTTTAGTTTAGTTTAGTTTTGTCTCAGGAACTAAGAAAATTATGTTGTTCGTTCTAGGAGCAAAAACTTAACTTTTGCCTTTTTAAATTCTAGGGATCCTGAAGGCCTACGAGTATTTTATTATTTGGTACAGGACCTGAAATGTTTAGTTTTCAGTCTTATTGGATTACATTTCAAGATTAAGCCAATCTAAATGTACGTTTTTGAACTGTTTATATATTTAACTGAGGAGTGGGTAAGGGTAGGTTTGTTTCGCATTTACAGTATTGGGATTTTTATGAACGTGAAGCACATTTTCTTTTGTATACAAACTAAACTTAGGAAAATACATAAGAAGGCTTAATGATACCCTCACTTGGGCCCAAGAGGATTGAACAGTCTTTTACACACTGAATTCTGTAAATAAAAACTACTTGTTGCTGAAATTTTGTTCCAATAAAAGATATCAAAGCCTGGATGAAGAGTATTTATTCCAAGGAGTTATGTCTCTGGTTCACTTTTAAGATGTTAAGACATTGTCTTAGTGTGTACATCTGTGACAAAAGTTTATTCAAGTGGAAGTATGTAGCCAGACTCCCAACAATAAAATAAACGAATGATTAGAGAGTGAGCTTAGTCTGCCTGAGCAGATTTCCCAGATGATGAACAATAAAGTTTGAGAACCATTGCTCAAAATATGTAGCCTTTACCTGCCCTATTTCTTTGAACTCGTGGGATAGAGTGGAGAGAGCACTGATTTAAGAATCAAAATTCTTCATTATGGATCAGTATTTAACAATGATTTTTCCCTTCCAGCCTGTGAATAGCTTTATTTCTTTGTGGCACAGAGCCCAATTAGCCATTTGAAATAACCATTATTTTATCACATTTACTTTCATTTACTGAGATGGGCCTCACATTTGGTTACTTAGAAATTGGAGGAAGGATGGTTTGATTGACTCCTGGAGGCCCAGTTGGGACAATATAGAGGACTTTAAATCCGGAGGATTAGAATAGCTTTTATAGACAGAAAAGACAAATTGTGGGATAGTTAGTGGAACAGGAAATCTCATACAAGAGTCATTGCCCTTTTTAGTTTTTACTGTAAGAGCCAGGAAATTCAGTATTGCTCAGTGGCCTAAAGATTAGTCATTAGAACCAATAAGTGTGTAACTGGGAGCCTGGCTAGGTGAGGTTTCTCCTCCTGAGAGAATACTTCAGGCCATCTTCCCTTAGGGGTCGAGGGTTATCCAGGCATCCTTTACTTCAGCCTTTGGCAGGAAGAGCAGCAGGCTGCTGTGAACTGATGAGCCACTGAGTGAAGGTGTGACTGGAAACTGTGGTAAACTTCTAGTTAACAAAGTTAGTATTGGACGGGAAGGAATGGGTAAATGTGTGGTTTCCCAAATAAGGGTTTTGCAGCAAAGCAGCCAGGAAATTAAATGAATGCTTCATCTATTCATATTTTATATGTATGTTTTGCACAAAAGTGAATCTAGGAGACAAAGTATAAGAACATAACATTCTTCAAATTTCTTAATTATTACAAATTGTTGTGATACATGATATTTGGTGCTTTGACCAATTTCAGTCAATCTCTTCTGAAGTTAACTGTTACCTTTTGATCAGACCTATGAAATGAGTGATACTCTTCTGATTGAACCCATGAGAAGACAGAGTTTAAGATTCAGAATGACTTGTTCAAATTTTTGTGGCTAGGAATGTGTTAAATCTTTTTTTTTTTTTTTTTT